ATAACCGACTAGTTTCTATTTGGTGCAAAATAAAAATTACCTCATAATAAACAGACTAACATAATGCATTTGACTAAATTAGAAATGATCAGTATACGCACTAATTATCTTTTACAATAGCAAAATATGACAAAGTTAAGAAGTTCAGTTCTTAACTTTTTATAAAATTGTACAAATCGAAAGTTTACCGTGAATTTTTACTTATTTATGTGATAATAAATGACAATATTTTATTAGACTTTTTGACTGAGTGCACAAGAAAAAATGTTTATTCTATGACAGTTTCTTTAAAGAAATTTAACATTTTGCATAGAACTATTTGAAATTTGAAAAACAGTAAAAAATGTTTTCTACCTTATGCGTAATTGCTAACTTCCAATTCATAATGAAATCCAAAATGGTCAATACGAAAACTATGATCTAAGAAATTGAAACTTACAGTTTAATTTCTATGTAAAGCACGATCAATAACTGGATTAAATTATTATATTTGAAATAATATATTCCAAGTTTTGAATTCTCTCAGACAGTCAATAAATATATTCATTTACATACCACTTATTAATTGAACAGTGCCAATAAATTCTATTAAAATCAAGAAAATACCATGATATATGGTTTCATAACGTTCAACTAATATTTATTTTACGTTTTGACATGAATTGTTAGTTGTTTTACAGCAGCATTAAAACTAATCACATGGTACAAATGATATCTTTAACGTCATACATGAAAACGACAGTTAGTTCAGTGTTCACTGACGAAAAGAACTTATTTTTTTATCTATCTGCCCTAGAATTAAACTAGATTATCATTGTATGTATTTTGGTTTGCAAGACAAAATCAATATTAAAGTACATCATTTTACTACAACATATGTGAAGTAATATATATACAGCAATACATAGACTAAATGTCATGTCACATGAACCTAATAATCATCACTGTCTGTTCAGACTTTAAATGGAATACGAAGAATAGAAAAATTATTGAAGACTTCAAATTAAATTAAATATTATTTTGCAAAGTCTTTTATGTACTAATCACAATGTAAATAAGTTTTCCTGGTAGAAAGTGAGTCGAGAAAATTTGTAGATAATTTTATTTCTTTATCTAGGTTTCCAGACATTTCAAAGGACTAAATAAGTTTTAAATAACGATATCCAACATGAAATTCCAATTCACAGTGACTACAAGATATAGTTTCCATCTTTTTTCCCAAATATGGATATCCTGCTTCCAAAAGTAAGGTTAGAATTTAACTTCATTTATTCATTCAAACGCATAAACATCACTACAAAAGGGTAACAAAATATATATGTATCACACAAGTCAGTAAATTTATGTGTGAGCTGGGATACTACCTAGGTCACCAGATCGCAGGATGTGAATTTATAATGGGGTCCCTCACCACGCCTTTGACCCAGAGGTCCGATTCATAGGGCAGTGAAGCAACGTTAGGAGATGAAATCACACAACAGGTTCAAATGCTATTTGTTCCAACAGGGTATTGAAGCTTATGTGAACCATTAGTAATGGTGTGGACTCAGGGATTCCCAACCTCTCTAACACGAACCCCCAAACCTGCCAACCTCGTCAAATCCCTAGGCATTTACTTTCTTCCTTGCTCGTGCCTCGAAAAGGTAGTAGATATATACCCGTGACAATATGAGAGCACTAGCGAGAAGAAGAGAGGACTCTAAATGCTTTCGGCGTAGCCAAGACATAAAGTGCAGTCAAACGTGTTTGTCCTGTACGTTGATTATCGGCACCTTTTTAAAAGATTATCTAGTGCACTTTATGTTTTACTAAAACTATAAAGTGCACTATGTCACACTATAAAATTACAAGATAATGAAAAGTGTCAAAATAAAGATTTTTTATTGTCGAAATTGTGCACATTAACAATAACAACATAATAATTCAATAATAGCAGCGACAATACACCTGGACACAAAAATAAAACAAAAAATTATTTTTTGATTTGTATTTCATGCATTTGGCATTCACATACCAAAAGTAACAAATGAATTTCAATTAATGAAGGAGTAGAGTTAATTACCGTTGTTAAATATTTCGTTGTTCCAATAAAATTCAAATAGGACACAAGTGTTGTTCATATGATCCTGTTGTATTCTGGCAAGTAGTTACTGTTTTCGAATTGTTTGAAATAAAGTATGATGTTAATTGTAGACCACGATCGAAATAGTGAAGCACTTTACTGACAAACTATTCAATCAGTTATGGATGAATATTCTTATAAATGTTACTGAAATCCGATACACTTATAAATTTGTTTATATATTCAACCGAAAGTGTACATATTTATCAACTTCGAAATTTATTCACTTCATACTTATAGTCATAGGATTACAAAAGTCATACATAAATTTTCAATATATTTGTTTTTATTCGGTAACAGTACTGATAAAATTATGATTCGCTATATCGAAAGAACTGTTAAGCTGTAAATACTGAAGTATTAATTAATGGCGTTCGTCAAAATCGGCTTACTGAAGTTCTATTTGAAAGTAGTGACCTATTAAGTTAATCAAGTTGAGAATGTGATCAATTTACTGATGATACTAAGTGAAAAAGAGTTGGCTTCAGTAATTTAAACGACTCTTTAGATCATGCTTACTAACATACTCGAAGCTTTAGGATTCTGTTTAATCCCAATAGGTGCTGCTCATTATGTGTCTGCATGAATGAAAATTCAAAACCTATTCGGTAGATTTAAGTTCCTAATATTTGTTTATATACAAGCTTTGCTTCTATTTGTACCCAAATACGATATATTCAGAATTAGTTTTTGTTATATATTTTTATTGATTATTATTATTGATCGTCATAATTCATTATTTTTTCATCATATATTTTATCATAGAGGTGTGATTCTTGCTGATCTGATTAGTGTTAGAAGTCTCAAAGCTTTTTTAAACCAGAAGATTGTATGTTAGATACTTGGTTGTAAAGACACAGATACATTTGACAACAATCATGAAAATTTCATCTAGTCAAACAAACTTTTAAATAGGCAGTTATTGACTTTTCAGATATGATAAATCAAAGAACTTCTACATTCTATTCCTTTAAGTAACAATCAGGCTAGAATCTCCATTCCAATATACTGTCCTAATAAAGGCCAGTTTCATTTAAAAATTTCTTGAATAGATTATGTACTTATAAACTTTGGAGCGAAACCGAACTTGAAACTTTATAACCAAATCACTTTGAACATAAAAAGGCTAGAAGTAGATCTCTGTTAAAATTGTACAGAATAAATATACATAAGTCCATCCTGTTTATCGACATATGACTTGTTATTTCTCAATGTTGTGAAAAATTCAACAGAAAAATGTTTTATATCCTCAAATCAACTTCTTAAAAACTGTTTATTTGTTAAGAAAAATTTATATTAAAACCGCATATGGCACGTAAAAAATGATTTAACCTAAGAGCTCTTACTTCTGCCTCTAGAACGTTTACTGATAAAATCATTTCTATAATGATTTTCGTGTATTTTAACAGCATATTTTCATGACCACTGGTAGAAAATGAATTTTTTTTATGACTTCAATCTCTCTAAACAAGTTAATACGTGTTTTAGTTTGGAAGTTATCAACATCTATCAATACCAGTAAATAGCGAATATGATGGTTTATCTTGATGTCCATTTACAAGTCTTTGTCAACAAGTTATAAATAATTAATGTAATGCACATGACTATTGACAGTAAATGTTTTCAAAGGTCGACTAGTAAATTTACAACCATCCCATTATTTACGGTGTACATTTGTTTTAATGATTGAAAGTTGAGAAAAAAAATTCTTTATGGATTCTACCAATAAGTATATTTCATGAATTTGTCAACAAATAAAATACGATAGAGTGGCAAGTACTACAATATTATTGCTAGTTCGGTGCAATACATCAACACAAATTCATGAACAAAGAAGAAGAAAATCAACACATTTAAATTTTGTAACAATGCTATCTATCCATAAACATACGTAGATTGCTCAACAAAACATTGTATAAATCAAATCGAACATTGTAAATCTTTAATTCTATTGGTTGGAAGAATATGCAGAAATATTATTATCTTCATCTTTAAAAATTTGTAAACCGTGCCAGAAACATATTCATTACGGTCTTGTAATTAGTTTCGCGTAACGTCTACTGTGTTCATTTTCTTTTTATTTTATTTTTATAAATGAGAAATAAAGTTTTCTGATTCAGTAAATTTTAAAAATTAAACCAACCAACAGTTGAAATTTCAAGTTGAAAATTTAAATCATTAATCACAGAAAGTAAGAAAGAAGAATTAGACGATAAACGTCAGCACATTATTCACTGACTAACATAATAAGGTAACCGAAAAGTATAAACTATACTGAATAAAACTTAATGTTATAACTTGAACACCAGAACTCTTCACTCACAAATCAGATACTAATGTTAAAAGGATATCAAATATTGGTCGGCTATGGTTAAGATACTTATTGAACAGATCTCTAGGAGTATAAACTAAACATGATGTTTGTTTTTATAAAAACCAATACAATATAGATTGATGAATGATAAGTCGACATATCTCAATACATAGTCCCGGATACAAATCCACAAATGAAGAAATTACTGAATAAATTAATGATGATGAATTATAACAGTTTTGATGGAAAAAAACTTCTAAAAATTAATTTATTGTCATTAAAGTTAATAACGACAGTGATAAGAAGTAATAGACAAGACACATTTTTATATAATCAACACTTGAAAAAATATAATACTTCGACTACAAAATAATGTTCAGCATATTTTATTCAAAAATGATATAGAAAATAAAGTAATTAGTACGCGAAATACACTTTTTTTGCAACGCTGATTGTATTAGTCATGGCTAAAAAATAACGAATCATTCAGAATGTAATATTTATGTCTCCATTTTTCCAGGGTAAATACATTCCATTGCAAATACCCTGTCTACATGAATCATACTATTCATCCAATTGAAGTTCTGCATTCAAAAGTATGAAATCGCCACTAATTCGAATATGTGAAAAAGGTTGAAGAGGATTGTGCTGACCAAAATTGTGCACAATTGATTCTTCAGTATTCAGAAGTACCTAACAATTAAATTATTAGTAGAGATGAAGAAAAATATAGTTATCAGTGTTAATTAACAAAAATTAAGTTAAGTTATTAAAATTAAAAATAAAAACAGAGTGTTGATTCATTTTGGATTAGAACATTTTTTCATTGTTTTAACTTCTGGAACAAGTAGAAATTTCTTCAAACAAAAAGTAAGACTAAGTGGCGATATTTAATTTTTTTTATCACAGCACATGCCAAATTACAGACAAGCCTTAAATATGTCTTCGGTCCACAGTGAAAAGATATGCACCATGTTGACAGAAAGTGATTTTTTCAGAAAAAATCTTAAATGTATCCTACACATTCAACAGATACAGTAATCACAGTTTTTGATTTTAGTTTGAGATAGATATGAAATTTATTCAGAACATCGGTAATATAAGATTATTATACTATTAGTAGGGGTTCATAATTTGCAGCATAAGTGATAACATCATGACCCAGTAAAGATGCATTTTTCCAAAATATGTTAAACCTATTCATAAGTCAAGTTACACGATTGAACGACACCTGCAGGTCGTAAACATGAAAATCGGTATAAAAAACTTGTGCATGTTTCTGTTTGAGCGATCTCATAGAGTAGGGGTAGGAAAACATCTACCTTGAAAAGCAAATAAGCTGAAATTGAATCAGCCAGTAATAAGAAATTGTAATTTCAGACATCTCATGTTACAGATATCAATTGATTAGATATGCATAAACTAGTCTTTAAAACTTAAGTAATGCTACTAGGATTTCAATTCTTAAATGCATTAATCTAGAAAGTAGTAAATTTCGGTTAAAGATTTACGAAAGTTTAGTTGTCATCGTGTTCTCGATTCGTTCTATACCAGTTTACAACACTTGTGTGAATAACTTTGTTTCATTCTTGACAAAGTAAGGAAACATATTTTTAAATTACTCATCCGATTAATCTAATTTGAAGCGATTAAGTAGCATAGTCTAATAGTAGAATGTGAATGAATAATAATGTCAAACAGTTTCCACAAAAAGATTGAATCATAGAAAAACACTTTCAATGTAAAATACACTAAAAATGGAAGTCCAAATCATATATGTGTGTCTTCGTTTTATGTGTTCTGTATAATCTTAAAAAGTTAAGATTCATTAATTCATTTTGTACATCAGTGGTTAAGTATTCAAGCACATTTATCAACAGACTACTGCGTCAAAGTAATCCCTACAATCGATCTCAAGGTCTGTAAGGCCATTGTATTTTTAATTATGCAATCTAAATCGAAACATCAAATGAACTTTAGCAAAAAAGGTTTAAATTATTTTATGATACACATTGAAGATTCGAAATTACAATCTTTATCTCAAGGATAATATTTGATGTTGGTAACAAGCACCAAAAAATGAATTGAAAGAAATTGAAGTAATAGAACCCTCTTTACCTTCAATGAACTATTGTGCCAAGCGAACTTCATTCGTCGTATCTGTTCAGGAATAAATGTTATTTCTTTTTCAGCATACTGAATATAATCATTTGGTTCTTTCGCAACCTCCTGTATCATTAGGTAATTTGTCTCAAAATTCAATAAGATTTGCATCGATAGGAATTCGGAGGTACTATCTGATTCATAAATATATTCAATGATAACTCTGTAAAAGGAATAACGATAAACTTTATATAATATGACATTAATCATTGCTAAATAAATTATTATTCTGTAGAAATTTCAGTTCCAAACAATGTTCAGTGATTTGTCGAACAGTTCAAAGTTGATAACTTTCTGACAATGGATGAACTAGTTATCAAAAGATTTTATAAACGCCTTAGTAATAGGCAGAGGAAACCTTGGTTTGTGGCTGCTGATTGCTTACATTAATCTGGCGTCAGATGTAAAGAACTCTGATTAAACAAAAGTTTATTCGAGATTACCGGCAAGCATAGTCACACGCATGATATTATGTCTGAATAAATATTTCAAAACTGTAAGGTTAAGTATTTTAATAGAATTAAAGAAGGGAGAATGCTGACACTTAAGATTTTCGTTCATTGTTTTCAAATGCTTTATGAAGTAGTTTTGTCACACTATTCACCCAATATGCCTACACTTGATTGAGTAAATGAATAAATTTACAAAGCCTAGATTTATGAATTAAAAGTCATAAAGTTGTATGCATTCATAGTTTCACAAATAAGTGTTCGTAATAAGTAAAATCACTAGATTAAAGATATCAACAGTTTGGGGAAACAAAGAAGACAGCTTATGAGATGTCTTTCTCTTTCCAAATGTTTTTATTGTATAGATAAATTATGTTGATTGGTAGATTGTGCAAACTTGAATGTGATATCCACCATAAAATAAAATAAATTCACTATTAATGACCTGCTTGTAAGTTTGAAGAAATCGTAGAGCTGTGATTAGTGAGCTGTAGTTACGTGAAAGTGTAAGTCATAATAGATGTCTTTAGCATTGCAACTGGAGTTTATGGTTTCAGAGTGAATGAATATTCTTTTATTATCTATCTGCTGCATCGTATTAAAAACTCGGTTGTAATAAATATCAATAATAAAGATCATATAATTTCTAACATCAAAAAAGATTACGCATCAATCGACAAGTTAGTGAAAACAATAAAATATGAAATTAAAATCGTCAAAAAATTAAGTGATTCTAGTTAATTCATTTTATTTTTGCATTCATACAATAATCAAAATGACAATGAATCAATTCAGATTATTATTTGAAGTTATTTGTATGCACTTAAAGTAGAATGATAAATTTAGTTTTTTCATAATGTATCACTTGTTTAATGACGGTTATATATATTCCAGTGCACAAGTATTGGCATCAATACCAATACTTTACCAAGCGTGTATAAATAGATGCACATGTAAGCAATTAAACCCAATCTACTTTCATTATACGAAAAAAACTGTAAATTGACGCAAAACTATGCTCATATTCTAAAAAAAATTATTCCATGTGGCAGAAACAAATGAAAAGAAGATAACAATATTTGGGGATAGTGTGACAGACGAAATAATCACTGTATTCTGTAGATTTATTGATTTCATAATGAATGAGATCAAAGTAAAATTATTTTATTCCCCAGTTGGAATTATTAAGCATCAAATGAACACATTTGAAACTTCAAATGAATAGTGGTGTTAGAGCTAGACATTTTGTGAGCAGTAAATAGTATGCCCAACGTTACCATGGTAATTCAAATATATATATATATATATATGTTTAAAAACGAAACATAATTTTTTATTACGCAGCTTTCTTTACTAAAAGTTCTTTAATTCAGTAATGTTTTAAATCCATGATAGTTGAGAGAGGAGAGAGCATCACTGATAATTTTCTGACAAGGTTGTAAACTTAGGAAAATTCTCAGTTCAATACATTCAAATGAGATAAACTCGATAAAGTTAACCATTTAAAACAGTTAGTTGGAAGACAATTTTTTGAAGACAATTATTTATCGCCGTAAACTTGAAAGTAAGAGAAATTACGAGGTACGTTAAATTAACACCTATTGAAGAACGATCTTCTTATCAGAGCAATTCTCATCAAACCTACTGATATTTATGCATAAAATTGAATTAATCAAAAGAATTTCAAAGTCGAATTCAACGAAATATACTGAATAAATAAGAAGTAAAACTTAATATTAGTATAGTAACAGATTTCACACTAGCGATCAGAATAATAGCTGCTTTATTAAATATTTCAATAAACAAAGGTCAAACTACTTCTGGAGATATTCAATCTCAAATTACAATTTATGATAATTAGATCAATATCGATTATGTTGAAATTCTGTTACAATACTTTGTTCAATTTGAACATTGGTCACGGAAATTCGATACAATTTACCGATATTTATTTTCATGATAAACAGTCAGTTTAAATGTTCTAATAATTTTCTACTAATATATTATCGACAAGCTTAATGTTTTTTTAAATTTAGCTCCATCTGTAAATCCGGTGTTCTACCATAGAGTTAGTGGGGCAGGTACAATAAGAGAATGGAAGTAGTTTCGTCTACAGTATTAAAGTTGAAGTCACCACAGAGCATGGAAGTACCAAATAAACTTATTAAAACACTAAAATGGTTAGCAACAGCATGTGTGAATAGCTAAATAAAGTATGTAATTACTTATGCAAGAGATACAAGGGGGGGGGGTGAAGAGACGAATAAAAAGTATACAAATCAATAAAGTTATGCATGAGCTTTTCTCTACTCAGAAAAAGAACACTTATATTACAAAACTTTTTGACACCTAAACTAGGTTTGTTAGCTTAAATTCTCATACCGTAAGTAATAAGGCCAAATAATGTTGACAAACAAGATGAACTGTTTCGAATCCATTGAATCTCTCCCCTATACAACCACTATCGACCGAAAGTGATGGAACAAATCTAAATATGCACATTTTAATTGCCATTTTCAAACTCGCCAGTCTGACTGCGAATATATTCTTTTGTTAAGCAATAGTCATTAATCGACTAAAACAATGTCTGAGGACGATCTGATTGGACAGAATTATGTTCGTTCACGTGTGCTATTCTCATTTACACGATGAGAATTATTAATTTTACGAAAACAACATAAGTGGTAGTGTCACTCAATTATGTGTAGCTCAGTAGCTTTGTCTTATCAATGTATTAACATTTTTGAAGAGCGCTTTAAAAAAATACATAAATCAATCTATGCAATGATAATATTGGTTTTATTTTTCTTAGTAATTAAAAATTTTTTACAAAGCCATCATTGTACTTTTATTATTTGTTGAATGAAATTAAAATATAAAGAATGTCTTTTACAGATAGATTTCAAAAAAGATTCATTCAAATTTCATTTGGCTTTTAAAAATGTCACTCAGAAATTAAGCTTCTTTCATGTTATATGATATTAATTTTATTTTTTTTAAGAATAACAAGACATAGAAAATTCCAATCATTAAAAATTCTAAAGTGACAGATATCTACTAACGAAATACCGAAAGTGTTTAAACATTAAAATAGTAGATTAATCAATCATCATAATATATCGTCTGCTAGCCAACATAACCATTGTTTCAATAATTCAGTTGAAGTATAAAAATTGTTTACAGTGATTAAAACCCAGCTTATCCTGTTCTCATTTTTCTCTTGTCTTCCGATACTATGCTAAGTTATTGATATAGCTTTAAGGATTGTCAATGTTATCAGCTTACATACAGACATGGATTGTTAAGAATTGTTTTACAATTAAAAACTAATAAAACTATGATTATATTCAGTTTAAAATATTAAAAAGACTTACTTTTTAGTATCGGCAGTTAGTTTTGTTAGAAGATTAAGTGTGTTCGCTTGACTGGATTCACATTTCATACGAAGAATAAGTGGTAAACACTAAACGGGAATAAACAAAGAAAGAAAATCACTTTGAAATAGTTTTAATTATCCCATTGTTGATGTTTTTACAGAAATTCGATCAATCTTGGTTGGTATTTGGGCGTTTTATGCAGATTGCTTCTATATACTCGTAATCACACAAGTTTATATAGAATAGATAGAATGTGGCCAGTATGCACCTTTCAGCTAAACGTGTCTACATTTCATAGTCAATGTTCATTCCGGAACTCAGTGCACAAGTGAGTAGCTATCTGGTACTAGGTTCGTGTCCGAAGTGAACATCAACTCTGAGACATAAATACATCCAGCTGGCTAGTTCCGAGATGGATGACCAGCACGTCCTAGATTCAAATGCTAACCGCATTCTATTTATTCTATATGGATAAACAAATATCAGGAAAATGAGTCTTTATAAAAATATCAACTTAAATGAACCTAAAATGCAGTAGAGTTTGGCTTGTGGGAGGTGAATCATAACTGTGTTCCATTTTTTGTTCATAATAATGTTTATTTATAGCGGAAATTAAAGTACACCTTTAGTTTTTATAAGCTCACCAAAATGCTAGATCCAACTCAGATCTAAAACGTTTTATAACCGTGTCAAGACATTTGTAATTACAGTCACTTGACGTGTTAGTGACGGATAATAACATAACCTATAAACGCGCTTTAATTAAGGTTAACGTATCCACGTTAAATAGATCAGCTACCATTAAGTCTACGTACATATACCGGGTTCGTGACACAAACAAACAAAACTATGATCATTGAACTGGTATTATTATCATTTGAACATTTTTAAAAACACTGAACTTAAACAATCAAATTAAAATCATTTGGATTACATAAATATGTATTGTAAATTTTTTAAAAATTTCACTGTATAATTAAGTTCAGATATATTTTCTTTATATATTAAAAGATTTGACTATTCGACATGCATGACATTTATCGCTAATTTTCAAATTATACAACATATGAATAGTGAAAATTTACTCAAATTTAACCAAGAATAAGCTTCTTCTTTTTAATTAGAAACTTTGAAAGGTATATAGTGCACTGTTCTTTCTTAAATAGTAATAAATATGGAAAGTATACCATTTAAGTAAATACTAATATTTGGTTGGATACACTAATCCAAGTTAATTTATGCATTCAGATTTAATGGTGAACAGTGAATTCGAAAAGTTTATTAACTCAGTACACATGAAATTAAAAACACATAATAGTTTTTATGTAAATTGGCTAACAATGACCTTGGAAAAAGTAGTAGAGCCATTTCCAGGGGCATTAGTGTTGATGAAATTAAAAAAATAAACTATGTAAATATTTACCTTAAAGATTTAGTGATAAAGTGGTCTGTTCTTTAACGATCTTTTTTATCTTTATCCGAATAAACTATAAGCAGGTTCGTTTAACAAATATTAAATTATGATCAAATACCATCATTACAGTCAAATCATTTCACTAAAACCGAATCGTACAACGCCATGTTTGAAGTTTCGCACTGATTTGATGTTGGTGGGTTACCCTATTCTCAGCATACAGTACTGAATCTGAGGTACCGAAACTACTGATTCAGTAGTGGTACAACAGTGCCCTTCCAAAACGTTGATCTTTATATTTCCTAAACGTTGATTTGTCTTTATTGATCAGTTAGAAGGTATCTTGTTTTATTTTAAATTAAAATTATATTTTTGTCTAGTCCAATGTCATTTTTGAAATAATAGAAAAGTATTATCATATGATTTATCTATTGTTTTACGAGACACTTTAAATTCATTCTAAACGGACGCATTACTTCCAGACAATGAATCCGAGCTCTGACCAAACTCTACCGTTTTCCTAATCCCTATTAAACAGTATTCGACTATGTATAAGGACATGATAATATTGTTAGTTTAATAAAGAACATTATAAGCAAGGATGGATAGTGGCTGGCAGCGGAATCCAAGACGCCCATTTCGTACAGTTCAGAATTAGTCAGCTGGATGTACCTGTGTCTCACAGTTGACGTTCACTCAGAACAAAAACCCAGTACTGTCCACTTCAAACCCCATCACATTATACATTTAGCTAGTGATTCCTGATAGTCACTCGCTTGTGCGATGGGTTGAAGGTTAATTCAATTTTACTGCTTGTTTAAATTTTCTCATTGATTCTTAAGATTGCAATTGATCAGTCTGTTTGGTATATATGCATCCTGCGAGAAATTCTCGATATTGCCTTTATGTTACAAACACCATTAGCGTGGGTGAATGGGACGTAACACGAGTCCTGGACTCCACCACTAGTCACTACCTGTCTCCTAATAATGCTTGTAACCAAAGGCAATATCGAGACAATGCGAACTGGATACATATAAGCCAGAGAGTTTGGTCAATCGCAGTCCTAAGCATTAATGTGAAAATCCAAATGACGAATAATTTTCGCGCGATCAGATTAAATCAAAATCCAATTTAAAGTTTCAAATAAACATGTTCCCTCAATTTCTATCCATTTGATAACTAAATATTAGAAAAAGTACAATGTTTCAGACGAATCAGATTTTCGTTGACTGATGAAAGATTTAACAACTAGCAATTACTTAAAATGAAAAAAAGATTGGACAGAGTTGTTGTCTTTAGATACTTAGTGCTCAAATAGTTTTCTTGTTCTCATTAATTTAGCTGTAACTGTATTGTCTCTGACAGTGGTGTGTTAACTTTTAAGAGTGACTTCTTGACCCCGGCTCAATCGTTTATTTATTTTGGTACTAGATAAGATAATATTGATAATATCGATTTAATCAAATGACTATGATAGGACTGTAAAATTGTTTTGATAGATATATCAATAAATTATCTTAAGGCTGTATTGTGACAATAAATGTATGGATGAGATAGCACAAAAACCCACAAATGTAATTAAAAAAGTATAAATATTGAAATAAGATATCTGTGGAAACTACTCAATTCAAAGTTAATTTTTATCATATATAGGTGAAAGTTAAGTGTACTTGAAAAGAGGCTTAGCTTTAGCTTGGGACTGCCCACTGGTACGAGCACACTATCCTACATTATTGTTCGAAACCAGTACAACCGTTTCTCGAAAACAGTAAGGTATTGTTACCCACCACGTTTCGAATTAATGACTTAAATTTTCAAAGCTAGTCACGACTATCCTTAAGAGTAAATATCAGAATCATTCACGGAATAAAGCTATGCATAACTTTCAAATAAAAATGTTCACAAACAGGCTCTTTTCCCTGAATTCGGTTAATAATGTAAATAAAAATGGAGAAGATACAGAATTTTGTGTCTAGCGATAAGAAGATGAATCCAATATCATTCTCGAAAATTTAAACAAAACTATATCAACTGCAAAAAATGAAGTCATTGATGCTAATGTTGAAATCAAAAGAATGTATCAGGCATGTTTCCATTTCAGTTCGCAAATCAGAACATCATGAAGCCACTCTATAAAAACTGCCATCAACTTGTTACTTAAAAAGGAGGTATACTCAAGGATTGGTAATTACTAAAAATGACGGTTTCGTTTCTTTAGTTTTCATCTACTTCCTATTTAGAAGTTAAATTGTCAACTATATCTTTTATATCAATCTTAAAAATGGCAAACGCTGAGCTACAAAATACTGACTATTCTATGATTATCTTTTAAATGTAAATTTTAATCAACTCATTTAACTGATTTTTGGTTATTTGGTCATTTGCCTTACTACATTGAATGCACACAGAGTTTCCCTCAAATGTTAAAATCTTGAGTATTCCACAGGTTCGAATAATCAACCACTACCTAGTAATGCTATGAAGAGATATGAATAGTTAATGGACCATATACAATCTATGAACAACAACTGTGAATCGTAACACGATCAATTAAAATAAAAAATTCCCCACAGCTAACATTCTTTGTGTTAAGGCAAATAGCTACGTTTTATGATCAATTTTTTACGAAACTTCAAAAAAACTGAAAATGAAGTGCTCATATACCATTTACGTGGGCGGCATACTTATATTCGCACCAAAGCAATAAGACTATGAATTGATTTTGGTTCAAGTAGCTTGTTGAATGTAAGAACTTAAGGCAATTGTAAAAATTACCAATGCAGTCATAATTAACGCAATTCCATTTTGGATGATGAATGCTTAAACATGTTTAGAATTTAATATTGTGATTTTTAAGAATTACTAAATAATTCACTTCTTTTTTTTTAAAGTAAACTATGAAACACAAACAGTTTAACCAGTTAGTCAATAACATTCATAATATCTAGACATCATATATCGGTTAGCAAAAAGAGTATGTTACTCATTTTCGTTTAATTATTTCTTCCGACTTTGTTCGATCAACAAACATACAAACACAGAAATTTATTGAAATTACTTTCTAAATTACATTACTGGCTAGTTGTCAAAATGTTACAGAATCATTTATAATAACCTGTGGTTTAATGGGTTCGAATATAAAGCAATGAAGCGTTGGGAACCTATTCAGAGAGTTCGACCTTGTCACAAACTCAGAAGTCTTATACAACGTCACAGAGAATATTCAAATATAATACTGTGACTTTGTTGGTGAGAGAGCCATGTTAAATACAACTATAAACATAGACATGAATTAAAAATTCTATTGCAACATACATTAACATATAAGCGTCAACTGTTAGACAGATATCCAATGAAAGGTGGTTACACGATATCCTGAACTGAACAATGTTAGACATACGCAGGACTGGATGTCGGCTGAGTGGTTTAAATCTTATGTTTAGACGCAAGACCAAAAAGCTAGGCTTAACTACCGGATATGGGATGAGAGGTCTGCACTATTGAGGAATCTTACACCTTGACGAAACAGCCGTCGAATGCCACTGTGTTTTCACTAGCGGTTTAGCTAAGATCAATTCGGAATAAATATCTACTATACGTATAATATAAGGGTTTGATATAACTTGTCGTTGACATTCAGGGCAAAATTCCAGTCTCTCTTTCTTATGATATGTACATCTTAACCTTTTAATGACAGTTTACGAATAATTTGATTGTGGATAGCCTGCGAATTGAAAATGCCTGTTCCGGCATTTATGGGATTCGTCAGGTGAACGCATGTGACTCCTGGTGTTAATATTTACTCTACTTGATTTAACAGTACCAATTGAACAAAACAAATTAACATACACCACTTCAAACAAAATTAACAGCACCTATTTTTCTTTAAAAATACATATTTAGTATGGTCATTTATATTTTGGCGTCATAATATGCAGTTTATGTCTGACCAAATCGTTTACCGATTTCTGAATGCATAAATAATAGCACTTTTTAGTAGTAAGAATTTGAAACAAAGCTATCTTACTCATAATGTTTATATTGCAGTCTTAATGTTACAGTATTTCAGAAATATAATGATTTCTTATTGTTTAAAATATATATTCCATCAGTGTTAACTATTACAAGTTCGTTCATACTGATGCCTAATTATGAAAAGATTAGTTTTATAAATATTGAAATAAAGTTAATGTTTTATTGACTTATCTAGATAATAAGGAAAAAGTTTAGTAAACTCAGATGCACAATAACATTATTTATAAATTTGGTATGCAACTAAGAATGTTTTTTTTAATAACGTGAAATATTTGAATCTTGTGAGATTTGTTGTGCATTGTTTCAAATATGTACACTATAGGTTGTTCTTTGAACTGTGTAGCTACAATATAGACTGATTTAACTAACAAACAAATAACCAAAAGTTATTTATATAAAATAGTTGCCAAATGGTTAAAGTTATATGTGTAGGTGGAAATGAAGAAATGCTGCATGATATAAAAATATGAAGTATAGAGAGTTTAGTGTTCATTTTGTTATAATTTAACAAAACAGAATTCTAGTTTTTTTAGAAACTTATCTAAACTTATTCAAACGTTAATTAACTTCCGAATATTGACTGAGTAACTAAGGTGACACGTTGTACAGCACATTAGAGTTAATTAAAAACTTACCAAATTTCTTGGCATAAGAAGTTTATCTAATTTGGCATTGCTCGAATCTTCAAGTTTAAATGAAGTCAATTGATAACTAGTGTGTTTCGGAAATTGATTTTTCAAAAGTAATGTAAACAGATCATTAGATGTAATCTAAACAGAAAACCAAAAAAAAAAAATAAGAACAAAGACCTACAAATAACTCACATTCATGCATTCTTTTAATAAAATAAAATGTGATTTGGAACAGATAATACTTTTTGTTTTGATCTGGCGAAATTTTTAATTCAATGCATACATCACAAGAAATGCGTAGTGTAAATGATAGTGTTTCTATAAATTCACTATCAATTATTTCATAGTAAATTACCAATTGATAAACTAAATATGAAGACTGAGTCTATTATTATCTACAAAACTGAAAAAATTATCCGATTGTATAATTATGTGTACATAATTACATTTTTCTCTAGGTCAGTTAATGCGGTCTTACAGAATGATTTCTAATGCATATCAAATTAGTATTAGTCATTTATACTTTCTGTTTGATCAGCTACTTCATTCTAGCAATAACTGAATGAATTTAACTAGTGAATTAAGTTAATGACTTTGCTATCTACCAAAAAACTAGAAACGTTTCTACGCTTTCTTTCATGTGATCTGATTTTGTTAAAACGCATTTATAGGTGAAAACGTATTTATGCTACTAGATTATCTGAAAACTGTGATTAATTAGCTTGCCTACATGCTCCTTGTATATTTGTAACAAAACCTTATTAATAGTATTGTAGTTGATATTTCTATTTAAAAAAATGTGTTCCATAAAAAATAATTACGAATTCATAAATTAAATGAACTCACTAAACACACTGAAATGCCATTATTTTTATGTCACAATTACATCAGTTTTGTAGTCAACTTACCCATAGTCTAAAGAAAGTCACATAATTTTCAGTCATTTCTGAACACACAAAAACTTGCCAGTAAAGTATAGTCGTCACAGATATATCTAGAGCAGCGGACCACTCACATGATATGGACAATAGAGCTCCCTACTAAAGACATCTTGGCAGAGATAATCGCTTACATATTTCATCACCTTTAAATCACTTACTTCAGTGTTCGATCTACGATAACTACCGATGGTGATTCGCAGTTCTATATGTATCTAATCTATGGGTTCAGTTGACTCCTAAGAGAATAACATATCACTATAACAGTCCATCATCCAGCACTGAATAGTGTCGTGAAAAGATCCGATTGTTAATTAAAAAGCTCCTGGATGTGACAAGCTGATACGACGAAATGCAATGATGTAAATCAACTTGTTCCTTTTGGAATCGGATTTAGTATTAAAGAAGACATTTAGTTCAGCAACTGAATTAGTAAACGATATAACTATTATTTAACCCAGACAACTAAGATAGTAACTATATTTATATGTCTATGGTCATATTAGCTTCACGTGTAAATATGTTTGTCCTTTTTGACTATCATTACTCACTACATACACTGTTCTCTCTATTAACTGTCATCAAATCATCATTTCCTTAATAAGTCTGTTCATGCCTATTTATAGTCGGTTTTTTCAATATTCCACAAGTATATATCACATCTCAATATTTGATTACAAATGTCAACCTCTTTGGTGATAATACTTCTCTTACATAAACTCAAGGATTTATCGTGAACTTATTCAAACACACAGACACTCATCACTTGCAAATAACCTTTTCTCATAATCTTCCTAATTGTTTTATGTTGTTTAACAGCAATTTAGCTTCATTTTTATATACATTTTACAAGGGTGTCCTTGTAAATTCATATAATTTTTATTTCATCAAACAATACTATATGGTAATGTCACAGAAATTGTATTATACATAATTATAATTTATCTGAATAATATACTGTAATTCTACACAGAGAATGATATTGTTTCAGTCTCTCAGTGTAAATGAACCAGGTGCATTACAGACCAGTCTTCAATGAATAATTAGGTATTATTTGAAAATCAAACAGCAAATTATAAGAAGAGGTCATTTTGATAGTGATTGAGTAAAGGTAAACATCACTTATGAGTTAGTCTGGCAAAATTTCAAACATTATGAAGAATATGATCAAATAGAAACTCACAGCGGTATAGAAACTTTGAGATATGAATTTCAAAGTGAAATTTGTTTGTTGCTTATCATCAGTGCAGACTTCATTATCTTTTAGTTTTGAATATTTTAAATCATTCGTTGAGCGGCATAGAATTTTGGAATTAATGCATTGACTGTTTATAATATCTAGGCCACCATCAGACCATAGTTGAAGATCAAGTGTTTCAAAAGCATCTTTACAAGTGTCCTTGAACTCAAGTCGTATTAAACAAGATTGGAGTACAGATGAATCGTAATTGAAATGACCAACAACTAGTGCACTTCGCCCAGGTGTAAGTGGATATGGTAAATCCATAGCGACATCACATTTTATTGACTTTAATCAAACAATAAATTAACAAAGCATTGTTAGCTCACGATTATAATCATAAAGGTAGAACAATAAACATTTTTTATCATAAACCACAGCTAAAAGATTTCAAAAACATTTTATATTTCACTTTGCAGTTAGTAACATTGCTTTGTTACAATGATAAGCGTTCACCGTGAACTGTCTCTATATCAATTTCATTTACATATCGATGATTATTTTATGAAAATGAATTAGACTGACATACGTCGTATGCATAGGAAACATTGACTCATTATCGTTTTGATGCAAATATGAGCAATAGTATAAATCCACAAATAATTAAAACATTTATAGACAGAATAATATGTTTCTATCTGATTATACAAACATTATTCTATTGGAAAGCTTTTCTGCAAGATTTATAACTGAAAACTAATATCCTTCTTACTTCATGTCAGTGCCAATTGTTCAGCATAGAACGAAACTGTTTATTAAACAATAAAGTTACATATAAGATAACTGGGTGATATCGTGGTCCAACATACAATTTGTGATAAAAGATAAATAATAAATCAGATTTTTAGTTAAAATCGTCCGACAAGTTTTTTTCTTCATATTTTATATGTTGGCCTTCTTTTTCAACATCGATTTCATTCATTTAATGAATGTTGTTTGGAATGGGTCAGGTTTTTACTAATCCATACATGACTGTGCCACAGTCATTTCAAACAAAAATCAATAAATGAATGAATGTAACTGAAGTTCAAAATAGAAGACCAACATAAAAATATTTCAAAAAGAAAAATTTAAAAGCAGAAAATTATCTGGATTAATAATTAAGACCTGCAACGTAGATTAAAATAGTGGTATTTTATTTAGAGACTATTTTATGTATAAATATACACTTCAAATAATGATATTAAAACTGTTTTAACAACCAATTTTTTTTAAATAAATTTAAAATTATTTTTTACTGAACTGTTCTCTTAACTGTATCCAATTATTTTAAATGTTCATAATGATTTACGAAAAATGCTATGATTGATTGATTGAATTAGTTTATAAATTTGATAATGATTTTTTCAATAACTATTAATATTTTGACGAGAATATATTCACCTTTATATTTTGACAAACTAACCTGAATAAAATCTTTTAATATATAATTTCGAATTGATGATTTTCGAATCATAGGAGCTGCGGCGTAAACATTTGCTGTATAACTTGGGTATATATTGCCATCTACACGAATTGGATTATATGCTATAAGAAAATAAGATGACATTGCTCAAGATTAATGAAGTTTCAGTTCATTTATTGTGAAGATTATCAATATTGTACAGTTGGTAAATATCAGTCAGTTACAAATTAATTATCATTGTTATTTGATATTTTGCAGCAAATGGAATACGTAATTTTTCAGTAATATGTAATAAACACAATACTTTGAAGAGGATTTTCACTGTATCTAACTATGAACAACATATTCTATAACTAGGTTATTTGAAGTAATGAACATGATGGGTGCTGTGTCCCACGTAACTCTTAAGAAAAGCCGTATTTATATTTTATGTCTCAGAAACCTTGACACACAGCTTAGTCTCAAGATAACGATAAAGTTAAAATGGTTAAAAACCTAAATACACAAGTTTTTTTTAAATATATATTAAACATACACTATAAGACTACTTTTGTACTAAAGTATAACAATAGTGGGTTCATAAACTTTTTTCCTGGAAAACAGAAGTCGGTAAGCAAAGAGATAGGTAGTTTGTTTTCTTATATCTACAATTTCTGAAACAGTAGCATGAAAATTCACACAAAAGAATCAAATAAACAAACCGCATAATCGGAAACAATGATTAATTTTTGAGATCATTGAGTTTCTATTGCTTAATTGAAACTACAACTTCTCTGACGAATCGAAAGTTGAACAAAAATATTTTCTACTGAATATTGATTATTTTATTAATGTACAAAAAAATATGCGCATTAACTTATATTTTTCATCTTGTAAATTTTCAATATTAAAAGTTTCAACTGTACAGTAGATTGGCTCTGCCTAGCTAAAAAGGTTTGATCCCATCCTCAAAAAATGCTCTAATGGTCTTTAGGTACATGTAAATTTATTTGAAACGTTCAAAATGATAAAAAAGCACTTATTCTATGTATCAGTTGTAGTAACGAAATAGTATGAATACTCCTGTTTCTCAAACTCAGCTGACTTGTACATCTATCAAGAATGTAAATAAGTTTTTATTATTTAAATATCTCGCAAACTTTATTGTAACCACAAAGAGAAAAAGTTTCCTTACGTGAATTAGAGGTATTCACCCAAGAAGAGACTTCCTCCTTTTTAAAACCTGGACGTTTTTTATATCTTGGTGTCAATTTTCTATCAGTTGGTTTGAGTGACGAGATACTGCTGCTTACTGATTCTTCACTGCCATTTCTACTTAATCCCATATTACGCCTAGCTTCACGTTCCAATTTCGTTGACCGTTTAGAACGATAATTTCTCAGGGAACGTTTACGATCAAAATAATATTGACTTTTACCTACTTCTAAGTAACACTCATTGTCAGTGTATACTTCACTACCTCCACTCTCCGTTTCTTCACCGGTTGAAACACGTTCAGTTAAAGAAAGAGATTTAAGTGAATATTTCACTTTTTCTTTTAGTTCGTATGTTATTCCTCCTATTTCATTCTTATTAACACCAGTTAGGGTATAATCTCCAAAAGGTAGACGACCTGCTAAATTGTTTTTATGTATATCCGCGGCTATCTCTGATGCACTCCCATTCGGCTTGAAAGCCTTTTTTGCTGCTAAATCCACTGTAGAGTTTGGAATGAAGCGTATATCATGACCCTGAGTAAGTGTTGTTTCACCATGGCTAGGACTTTTGCTTCTTGAGTGTATTACTGCCGCAATTTCCGGAGCCGTACCTTTCAATTTTAAATTTGCTATATCAGACAGAGGTTCACTAGCAAGTCTGGATGACCTCGGCGATCGGTCAACTGGTGTGAATGATCTGAGATGTGAATCTGAACCTTGCGTTATAGTTGTGTCTCCCAGATTTGAATTAGGTTGTTTTGAGTGAATTAAAGCTGCCAATTCTGGAGCTGGTCCTTTAAGTTTACCTTGTGAATGCAAATCACTAAGAGATGGTATTTCAATGGATGCTCTTGAATCACTCAACGACTTATGTTGAAAGTGATCATGATGACTACCAATATTTTCATATCCATCGTAATGTTTTTTTTCAAAAGTTGTAAAATGAATATCTTCAGACAAAGTCTTACGGCCAGTTAGATTAACCGTATCAAATTCAGCTGATGGGTTGGATTTAAGAAGATAAGCTGCAATTTCAGGTGCCGGTTTTTTAGACATTTCTTTTGGTAGTCGCTCACTAACAGATAAATTCACTGCTGGATACATGGTGTGTCCAGTAAAGGCAGGATCTGATCTATTTAGACTAGTTGAAGATCTTACTGAAGGCGTTTGATCTGAAATTGTAAAAACATGAGAAAGCCGGCTGAGAATACTGAAGTATAACGAATAACAATTTCAGAACAAGATTTCATTCACCATCATTTTTTATTTTCCAATAAGTTGACTCAGATAATTTACTTCTTTACAAATTTAATAGAGAATCAAAATTAAGAAATTTAGGGAAATAAGTCTATAGCATTCTTACCAAATCTATTATTCGTCCTCCAGTGGTTGGTTAGGTCTAAAGTACTTATACAAACTGGTGTAAAATATAGTTTGATTTCTACAAAAAGGACTAGTCCTCATTAAACATATGCTTGATGTGAAAGTGATCCTCATTGTCTAGTTAACTATTTGTAGCTAAAAGTTGTTAATTCAAGATTAAATAAGGGTTTATTTATCAGCAGATTGTTTTTTTCGTACTTATCCTATCATACCAAAACTCTGAACAAATATAAAGGTATAAATGAAAAGGTTTACTTTATTTTTCTTAAATAGCAAAATTGAATGACCGACCAATTTACGTTATTCCACTTTTTGTTACAGTAAGCTGTATTAGAATAATACCTCATAGTTTATTGTTAAGTAACTTCTAATCGATTTATAACGAAAAGAATCTCCAAGTATGTAGTCGTCACAGAAACCGTAATATTATTTCTAATTCATCCCTTTTCAATATCACTTAAAGACAATCTATAGAAAATATTTTGTTTACTAGATCGTTGATTTAAAGTTTGATTTTCATGATGAAATTATGTTAGTGCATTTAATGACTCCGAAACATGGCGTGGTTTGGAACTCCTGCTCCATATTACCTTAAAAAAGATTGAATCCAAGACCTAAAAGTCTCATGATCATTACGTTATACTTTTACCGTCACATCCTAGTGATCTACATTTTCAAATGAAATCAATATTTGTGTCGTGATTTTTATACTGTCCATCTCCTGATATGGTTAAAACATATCGGTCAATAAATCAAACAACAGCAACGTAAAACTTCGTAAGTACGTACGTACATCAATTCAAGTTGCCAAATCACATCAGCACAGAGATGTTATTATCAATTCAAATCCAATAGTAGTAAAGGTAGTGAAAGTATTAGCAGTAATCGGAGAGATTAGGGTTCGAAGATATTAGTCAAGAAGTAGAATCTGATGAAATAAACTTGAATAGAAAAATATAAAAATGAGGAATTCAGAAGCTTAGGACATAAGAGAACAGAAAAAATAAATGCGCAGGCGCCATGTAATTCAGGTTCTCTAACCATCGATTACTATCATCTCACGGGCCCCAAACAGTTAGTTGACACCTAGCAGCATGCCTCAGTTCACTTGTCAGTGACTTTATGGATTTGTGCCATATTTTGGTTTGGCCGCCCCTAGCTTTCTTCCAATCTACTCCTACACCACAAAACATAGCTCAAAGAGGCATTCGGTGGTTTGGCAAGCGCAACAAATGTCCCAACCACCTCAAATGATGAAGTTTCACTACTTCATCTATTGATTTGGCATCCCAACCTAGAACTCGTTTCCTAACAACAGCATTGCCTACTCGGTTGTCCCAGGATACACGAGCAATGCTTCGGAGACACCGATGATCGAAGACTAGTAACCTACGAAAGTCCTCTACTCTGACTGGCCATGTTTCACAGCTGTAATGTAGGACGGAGTGAACTGCTGCGCAGTACACTCATCCTTTAGTCAACAAACGGATATCTCGCCTGCGCTATCACTATTTCCGGTGAAGTCGCAAGCCAATCCTGAAGCAACATTTTGCATTTCGACGGGGAAAACCGCATCCCGAACATGTTTGAATTGTTGCTTAAGGTAGTCAGAAGACTCTTCATTTTGTCAGCGTCTCTTCCTTAGACGCCTAATTAGAGCTCGTGAAGAGCAGACTCGAGAAAACCAGGCTGCTTTCAGACCTGGACGTGGTTGTATAGACCACGTTTTCACACTACGACAGGTCCTGGAACACAGACACACATATAGGTGTCCTACAATAGTTGTCTTCCTGGACCTTAACGCGGCATTTGACTCAGTGGATCGTGAGGTTCTGTGGCAGAGTCATTCATTGGAAGGTGTACCAAAGAACTAAATTAACCTCATACAAGCTCTCTGCTCTAAAACTACTGGTCGAGTGAGAGCTTATGGGGAACTGTCATTGGAATTCTTCACTTAAAGTGGTGTCCGTCAGGGATGTCGACTTTCCCCATTTCTGAGTTTTGCCAACCTGCGTCACCTATAGCGCAGGCGAGATATCCGTTTGTTGACTAAAGGATGAGTGTACTGCGCAGCAGTTCACTCCGTCCTACATTACAGCTGTGAAACATGGCCAGTCAGAGTAGAGGACTTTCGTAGGTTACTAGTCTTCGATCATCGGTGTCTCCGAAGCATTGCTCGTGTATCCTGGGACAACCGAGTAGGCAATGCTGTTGTTAGGAAACGAGTTCTAGGTTGGGATGCCAAATCAATAGATGAAGTAGTGAAACTTCATCATTTGAGGTGGTTGGGACATTTGTTGCGCTTGCCAAACCACCGAATGCCTCTTTGAGCTATGTTTTGTGGTGTAGGAGTAGATTGGAAGAAAGCTAGGGGCGGCCAAACCAAAATATGGCACAAATCCATAAAGTCACTGACAAGTGAACTGAGGCATGCTGCTAGGTGTCAACTAACTGTTTGGGGCCCGTGAGATGATAGTAATCGCCATATTACTCTTGGATTTGAAGTGACAGTTGCGTCTCTGTTCTGGTGTGGTATGGCAACCTGAACTGATTTACTTACGCACGAGCTTCTGTGTTTTATCTGTCTGTCTTTCTGGCATATCCTAAGTCAGCGAGCAATTTTCCTGGGAGAAGGTCTACTCCTGGAAACCTATCGGTCACAGCATCTTATCAGAACTTTCATAATCCACCTGGGAGCCAAACATTCTGAAACATAATATTATTCCTGTGATCATCATCATCGGATCGGTGAGTTTAAGAAATTATGATAATTTAGTCAAAAGGCATATAATTCCGACATTTTACATGTAAATCATTTTTATGTCCTGGATTAAGCTGAGTTGCGAGGGCCAAGAGTAATAGTTCAGCACCGTATTTGTATAATAATTCACTATATGCTTTGTACATTTGCATCAAGGTGCAGATAGAATTTTAGGTTCACTGCTGAATTAATCAGCACTATTTGGTAATTAACAGTAACACCTGAAAATTAATTGGTTAGAAATTACTATCAATAATATCTACGTTTTACAAATAGCGATGTTTGTAATACTAAGCGGGAAGTGTATAACAGCTACGGTGTTTATCAATATGAAGAGATTGAATTTTTATAACATATAAAGCTACTGAAATTTAAGTCACAGAGAATGAGTAGTGTTATGGCGAATGAGATTGACGAAACCGTATAAGATATGCAGTATTTCATGGTAAAATATCAAATTAAAACTGTTGATTTCAATTAAACTGTTGTTTGCATGTTTCGTTTTTCTACTTTCCAGGACTTTCATTTACCAAGAAAACTCATAAAACAAAACTGAGGTTCGACAGAAAACAAACAATATATGATGAGTTTTCGCGTAACAAACACGGGTAATTTTTATTGAAAAACATTTGAAAAATGAATTTATCTTATATTAACTGCTGTACAGCACTGCTTCACAAACGGCAAAATAAAGCCTTAGTCTGAAAATGTTTTCAGATTGAGCGAACTCTAGCTACAAGCATGTTTTTAAAAATTACCCTAATTAGATAGCTTAACACTTTTCTCTAATAGTTATGATCATAATAGATAGATTTATGACTTAGATATTATTATTTTTATCAGTCTGGTCTTGATCTGTAGTAGACCAACTTGATTGTGATTGGCCAGGTGATAATATATTCTCCCGCTAATTCTAATCCTAATGACTGATTCCTTTATTCTATTATTGTGTCATCGAAAGTAAACTTTATTGATTTGAGGATTGGAGATTAGAAGTTAATTGGGAAAGAAGGATAGAGCAAAGAGATGAGGAAACAGTTATTAGTAAGTATTAACTCAATGTAGTGAGTGCTTTCATGTCTAGCTCACAGAGCTCGTCCCACTTGTTTTTTGACCTTGTCAGTCATTCGTTCGTATCTGCGTTAATTTTATTCGTGTGTGTGCACGCCTCTCTCGCTTATTACATGTCTGGCTTATTTTTGTCTGACTATAAATTCTTAGTCATCATTATTCAGATGGAGTTGGCTCTCTCACTTTCTCCGCTTCACTTCGCTTCGTTTTTCTTTGCTTTGCTTTGGTTGTATGCTTCTCATTATCATGTCTGCATGATCGATTGTCTGAAATAAACTCACCCAACAGAATCCGTATTTGGCTCCTTATTACCGCCGTCGCATAAACAGGGTTCGCCTCGGTATAATATACGGAAACTGATGGGTAGATTTATTTCATAACATATTTAAATGTTCATAGATAATGGAGCCAGATAACGGGCCACCAAAACAGTATGAAATTCTCTTCATCCACAGTAATTATATTTGACTAATCTAGCTATGGTCATACTAACTGTACCTTTAGTTTTGGAACGTTTAAAAGGATTTTTTAAATGCAAACCCTTTTTCTTTTTCTCGCCTTCGCCATCTTTCGACTTAATATCTGGGGTAGATCCTTTGGATTTCTTAGAGTCCTTACGTATATCTGACTCAGAGCCTGTTGATTTTCTGCTCTTTCCAAGTAAAGTAAATCGTTTTTTCTTATGCTTGTCTTGCAAGTTAGGTGTTGAAGTTGTAGCAGTAAGCTGAGGTGTTATGTGCTCTTCGTCATCCAATACACAATAGCTTCCACGAAGTAAATCACCAGCATCTGTCTGACTTCTGCCTTCAGTGTTAAAACGTTGTTCAATTTTACTATTACTTAAAGTAGCAGATTTTCGAGGTCCCAAAAGAGCTGGTTTCGACTTTACATGTGACATATCATTCGTATTTAGGTTACCTCGACTTCCCATTACGTAATCTGACGCTCTGTCGTGAGCTGGTTTGCCTACGGGTGCTGGTAATGATGCGGAGATTCTTGAGTCTGAAGTATGACTAAAATCATTACTATTACGATATGAATAGGCTGCAGAATTTCGATCTAGTGTAGATACTTTGTAATCAACGTCTAAATCTGCTCTAGACAAATCATTTGATGTTTTCCAAGCAGTAACTTCGAGATTACTATCTTTACTTTTTATCGATTGTTTATCCAATTTGGAACCTGTTCTTCTTGGTACCATTACTGGTGTATCATTTCTGCGTATGGAACTTTGTCTTAACTCATTGACACGTACAAAGCCTGCTTGTGTATCATCCATTTTAATGCTGTTACTGTTATTATAACCGGAAGACATGTTTGCATTATTATTCATTTCCTCTTCATCATAATAGATATCCTTAAATTCAAGAGATAATATATCGACTTTTCCTTGCATTGACAAAGCAAATGCTTCACTTAATGGTACAAGATGTTTTTGGTCACAAACTTTCTCTTTGTTCAATACTACCTATAACAGGAAAGAAAGAACAAGAATAGGAAGGAAAAATAAACATAAAATTCCAGTTGAAATATATTAATATGTAATTAAAATACAACTAATCTCTTTCCACTTTTCTAAGCTGATACAGTTTTATCTGTTCTTGCTAAATTTCGGAACTGGAGATACTTGCTAATATCTTCGTTACTCAATAAAAGGATGATGAGTTTACAGTCTATACCATGTAGTGCAGTCTCAGCATCTAAACGATTATAGTACAGAAAAATGCATAAGCTTGAACACGCATCCTCAGTTATGTCAATTAGTGCCAAATTGAAGAATTAGATAATGATGTTAATTAATGATTGAAGTTCAGATATTAAACTTTGAAGAACGCAGTTAATAATTAGTTATAGAATAAATAATACATTTTGCAGTTTGTTAGAAAACTTAACGTAGAGCACTTTTTCAGTCACGTTTAAGTGATCAGAAATCAGTAGTTAAATCCCACAATTTTGCAACAACTGACTTGCATCAATTATCCAAATAATTATTTACAGAAATGCAATCATAGTTCTTACAAAACATCCATATTTGACTGTTTAAACAACTGAATGATTATAATTATCAACATCATTGTAGTAAGAGAATTACAATCACATTATCAGCAACATGTTTCGTTTCATATCGTTTTATATTCCCATAAAAGTTGATTTTGTGTAGTTTAGTTAACAAATACAATAGTAAAACAAATAAATCTCTTATATATATATATATATATATATATATATATATATATATATATATATATATATATATATATATATATATATATATATATATATATATATAATATTGATCAGAAAACTAGGCCTTTAAAATGTTTTGCACTAACATCGCTTGCTTATTTCATTGATATCAAAAGTAGTGAAAATAAAGCAAATATATTATTTCCAGACAGTTAAGAGGATGCAGGATATGTTCGATATGTGTTTATTGAAAAACTGATTGAAATCACTGTACAGAAAATCTGTCCTGACCGTAGCTGCTGCTTTGACGTAGTGGTCGTGCTTGCCTATCATGATGATCCAACCAAGCTATATTGGCTGAAACATATGTTCCTGAAGGTTCCACCATGCCAGGCAGGTCAATCAGAAAACGATGAGACTAAAAGTAGCTACTCAAGGTGTGGGGGCGCAGTCTTACTGCTGACTGCAGAGGGGTGTGACGGCAGTAAGTTGTTTCCCTTGAACAACCAGCATCTGCAGCGATGTTGCCTGCTCACAAGGAAGGAAGTGGTTAGAAAATGTCAACCCTAAAAATGTCACACCTCACATTAACTCTAGGATTTCCCTTTCCGGAGGTAAGGCCTCTTAACCAAGAGCAGATCTAACACTTGAAAAACTTCTCACAAAAAGTCCGTTCACGACCGGCCTCAAGCAAGTTTTCTATGGGCTCTGAAGTAACGCTCCCATGTCTCTAAGACCGACGCTAATTCTTTTTCCTTTTCAGGTTCCTCAGGAAACACTCTTTCACAGTGTAGGCAGCCATTAATTAACATCCGCACTCATACCCGTAACACCAGACGAAACCGAATCAGTCACAATCAAATCTTTCCAACACCCTGTAACACCTCTCTTATGTCCACGACTCACCCTTCTCTCATCTCTTTATCATGCTGCACTGCCTATGGAAACGATTCAAGTTCACGAAACGTTATTCCTGGTCTCCTGAAAACCCGTTTTAAACTACATATTGGAGCTTTAAATGTCCGGACATTGTGCCAAATAAGTCAACAGTCTTCCTCAGACAAAACGTTGGAATCTAGCGCCATCGACGTTTGTTGTGTCTCAGAAACGAGCATAGAAGACCCGAGTACAATCATTATTTTGATCTCAACTAGTGCAGATAGAGACACAACAAGGTTTCTGGAAGCCCTGATGCCGCTTCTCGTGGTCTCGCGGGTGTAGGTATAGTATTAAGACCTAGGGCATAACTAGCTCTCTCGAAATGAATCCAGGTAGACAGTCGCTTATTCACTGTCCGACTAAACGGGACGGTACGGACCAGTAAAGATAAAGAAACTCGTCGTTGCCTCTTTGTTTCCTCTGCCTACGCTCCCACTGACTTCAGTCCAAACGAGATCAAAGTTGAGTTTTACAGAAACCTCTCTAACTTGCTTCAAAAAGTTAAGAGATCTGATATAATAATAATGACTAGTGACTTTAACGCTCAAGTTGGTAGACTGAATGAAAATGAAAGACACCTAGGTGGATGTTATGGTGTCGCGGCTCAGAGAACAGAATATGGCGTCCGCTTGTTGCAACTATGCTCAGATAACAGACTATTTCTTGCAAACACTAACTTTTAGCATAAGGAAAAACATCTCTTGACCTGGCGACCCCCAAAGTCATCTCAATAATGGACCCAAGTAGATCACATCGCCATCAGCCACCGATGGAGAGGTTCGATGGAGGACTGCCGCTCTTTCTGGAGCACATGTTTAGATTCAGATCATGCTCTATTGAGAGCGCGTTTCTGTTTGAGGCTTACTGGACGTAGGAAAGACACCGTAAGGAAGCCTCTTAGGGTCTATTTAATGATAATAAAGCTAAGAATACATTTCAGGAACAACTGGAAAGAGAGTTAGGCAACCATGTATTAAGTGATGCCAACCTTGATGCAGCTTGGAATGATATCAAAAAGGCTGTGGAAACAGCTGTGATATCTGCTAGCAAGGTAAACCATAAGGTTGAAAAGAAGCGGTAGATTTCAGTATCATCTAGCTAACCGATTGGTGCTCGAAAAATCATCCTATCTGACTCTGAGTACGATGAGTAACGGATTCAGCTTAGGCGTAGGCTGGTCAAAAGAGTATGCAATGATCGTGAACAGTGGTGGGTAGCCAAATCAAGAGAGCTAGAGAGGGCGACATGTAACATAAGACATCTATTCGGACTTATCAAGGAAACCGGTAATACGAATCCGAATGTCAGTGCAACTATCTCGGAAAAAGATAGTCTTATTATTCGTCCTCAGTCTAGTAGATTGGATTGATTGGCAGAACACTTTAGGGGTCAGTTTAATTGGCCTTTAGCCACACCTTGGTTGCCCACGATATCCAGTCATCCTTAATGGCAAATCGATATAAGTTGTCCGACTCTTTATGAAGTTGAGAAAGCAATAAGAAATCTGAAGCCAGGGAGAGCAACGAGTCCTGATAGATTGACCCCTGAGATTTTTGAGGATGGTGGTCCAGTTTAAGCAATTAGATTGACTGAGAACTTAAGTAGAATTCTGGAACTGGGTCACATTCCAATTCGCTCAAATCCTAACTTCGTATTTTCTCATCACCTTCATCTTTTTCTTCTTACGTTTTTGTTACTAGATTATACTTCTTGAACAATATCTTCGGAGTCAAATCTCTCCGATTACTGATAATAGTTTCACTACCTCTATTGCTATGGGATTTGAGTTGACAATCGCGTCTCTGTGCTAATATCGTACGGCAACGTGAACTGATGTACACGCAAATAGTCAAAATATAGACTTTCAAATCACTCACTTTTTTCAATTAGAGTTATGGAGATTAGCATTTTTTTACACATTGAAGTCATCAATCATTGATTGTTAGACTACCATTAAAAAATGTGGAAGCACTGAACGGCCGTTTCGCGCTGGTTTGGGATCCATCAACAATGCCCATTCACGACTCCTAAACCTCGAAGGATTCGAACTCAGGACCTCCAGTCTTGAGCGTTAACGCCTAACCTCTGGACAGTAGAACCTGCGTTCAGCGGTGGTAATGGCTGACTCTGATCAATCTAGAGATTTCGCGCTATTCCATCCATTTGTCTTTAATATTTACTGCCTACACTTTACAGCGTTGAGCTCCACTGGTCACGTCTTCCCACTAGAACTCCGAGGATTTCCTCAGGAAGCTAGTCACAAGTCAGTACATTTTACAATTTTTTTCGATTAGAGTTACGGAGATTAGTGTTTTTTACACACTGACATCATCAGTCAGTGATTGCTAGACCACCATTATAAACCTGGAAGCACTGGACGGCAGTTTATTCCTGGTATGGGTCTCAGGAGTCTTGTATGCGCACTGCTGATGAGCAATGCCCGTCTAGTGCTTCCAGGCTTTTAATGGCGGTCTCAAAATGACTGACTGATGATTTTAATGTGTAAAAAATCATTCAACGTCTATATTTGAAGGAAATGAGCATAATTTTAGCTTTCAATTTTTTTTTTAAGTACGGTTGGACATCAATTTGAATGTTCGAATCTACTTTAGTAATCTCATAAAATTCTCACTACAACCCCTGATAACAGATAGTATAGAATTTTAAATATGAACCGTAAATTCATGAATGATGCAGAACTTTCATCACCGTGATATTAGTCAGATAATACTAACGACATGAATTAGATCAAAAAAGACTAAATATGTATCAAAAGCATCTATGTGAAACTGCCTAGGAGGAATAGTCAATTTTCTAATTCTATACTGAAATAACAAATAAGCATGGTTTATGTTAACACAGAAGTGAAACACTTTGGATAAACTTTGATTTTAAACAGAATCATAGCATTTATTTCTTACAAGGTATTTCTGTTTAATAAATCGTCAAAAGCGGGCAGTAAATACTTTCCATAAGTATTGATTTTTGATAAATATTTAGATAAATTAGCTAATATTATACATAAATTTTTAAATTGCTTAAGTAGAAAATTGAAAAAATCAATAATTTAGGCTTAGTGATTTAGATGTAATCTTTTTAGCTCAAATTCTTATATCAGTATTTATTTACAGTCGAATTTCTATGAATCATTCATATAAAAATAAATTTTAAACATAAAATGTGAACAGAAGCATGATGTACGTGAGTAAGAAACCATTGCTGTATTCTTCTACACAGATTTTTGTTACAACATAATACTTGTCACATATGGTTCTGAATATATATTCAAAACACGTATTCAGAGTTCATGAAAATATTCAAATATCATATTTTTATAATGGACAATATTATGATTACATTGTCAATTAATTGAGAAGATAAAACGTTAGATATTTTCAACTCACAGAATAATAATCCTTACAAGCATGTACACATAATTCAAAAGTTTCATTGTCTTGTATACCATTTTCCACATAACGTTCTTGTTTCGCTACCTCTTTTCTACTACGACTAATTACAGTTACTGGACCATTTGTTGTTAGAATGATTTGTAGCGGTAATTCATCCAATATATTTTGAGTTGAACCTTCTTTTGTTAATAATTCAAAAATTATTCTGTAAGAAATTTCAAACAGATGTTTATAATTTTAATATATATTGTAAATAAATGTAAATAGGTAATATATACTTTCAACAATAAAATTTTGTCATCACATTAAACCATAAACTGATAAACAACTGGCAGTTACTTACATTGGTTTTATAAGATTTTATAAGCGAAGAGTGATTAAATTAATTTAGAATATGAGCAATCATTTCTAGTTATTGTTTTTTTTAGTTACCTATATTTGTACAACAAATAACTTCAAGTATAACTTCAAAAAGCGATAACTCTCTATGGTTTATTTGGGATCAACAATTAACAATACTGTTCTGTACTTTGGATAACATCATTAGATGCTTATAATTCCTTTTATTTGGCACTCTCCAGTTTTTTTTCTACATGACATCGTCCAAGTTTTTATTAAAGGTTAGGTAGATGAAAAATTCATTTCCCTCAAAACATTTTATTCTTCGAAACCTATCAGCAGAATCATCAGTGATATATGTAGTAGATATCTGTGACAGTTAACAAGAGTAACTGTCAATAGATATGACTTCCGAGCAGATAGATGTAGGAGTTAATATAGTTCGTAGTTATCAGTACAAGTTTGATAGCGTAAAAATGGTTCCCGAGTTGTTGTAGCAGTTCTTGTTATATTTTTATGCTTCATGTACTTTTTTTCTACGCTATATAACTCGTCTAAACAACTCCATCTACCAAAAAAGTTATTCCAAACGGGTTATTAATTTTTGACCTATGTCCTTCTGTTATCTGTGACCTTGTTAATTATGTGTGCTTTTATGTGTGTTTGGTCTCTATGTTATAATTGTTTGTCTTTCATAAATTACTTTTTGTATAAACATGTATGAAACACGCATCCAAAATACTTTTTATATTTTGTTATTGTTAACGAGCTTAGTCAACAAGAAAGGTGCGAAGTAAATAAGCACCTATATTTCGTTCATTTTCATTTAGTCTACGCGATGTCTCTCTCTATTTCAAATCTGGTTAGGTATTTATGTGGATGTTTTAAGTATTTTTCTGGCCTTACTAGTTTGATCCGAATACCTTGATTGTCCATCAGCAGAAAAACGGATTTTGTTAAAATCATCACTTTTTCTTGCCTTTTCAGTTCCTTACCTCTAACTTTGATGACTAAAGATGGATAAACGCTACTTAATCAATATCTGAAGGTGTTTTCAACGAGTGTTTGTTTATCTAGTGGCAAGATAAGTTACATATTCTTTTCACTTAGTAGCAGTTTCAGGAACTATGGGTGCTTTCTATTTAATCTATGTGGTGGCTGGTGAAAATCAAAATTCTGTACCACTGAACATCATCGTCTCGATTTTACATAATTTAAAAACTGATAGGTGTAAAGGATTGGCTGCAACATATTGATAAACTTCAACACCACTTATCTACTCTCTTTGCCTCGTTAGAAAATAACATATTTTTTCAAATGTTAGTTAATTTAAAATAGGTAGCTGAATATCAATCATTTGTTGATTAGACAAAGTGATGAGCGGCTTTTATCGGTATTCTACAAAAGATGGGATTGAATGCCAAACTTTTCAATCAGTATGTTGTTTAAGAACCAGATAAATATGTTAATTGATGATCTTTAATTTCTGCTATTTTTAGAATATTTTAGTTTCAAATCAACTGTTTTATGATTTTTATGAGCCATAAGATAAATTGTACTTCGTCAGCTTGATAAAGGACAACAAATATCATGCCAGTAATCAGTATTGATTCTCTGAATCAGTTTTAAGATTGTATGAAGAAGACTTATTCTTTAAAAACTGATTTTCGCTTTTTTTTGACTGAGTAATCAGACTATCACGAAATAATTAGCAGAATACAAAGTTAATAAGAACGCCGAAATTATTACCCATACCATACTAATAGCGTATTCGTATGAAATAAAGATGTGAAACAGTTTTATAGCTGGATGATTTAATTGTGAAGCTTTAATTAGTTAACCACTTGACTTGGACTCTGATTATGTTATCAAAAATGATATCAAAACTGTCAAGCTTAGGGAATTCAACTTTATGAAAACCGAAATCTTTAAATGATTCTTGGTCACAAAACTATCACTTACGCTACCTAAATTCAGTTTAAAAATTATCAGCTTATATTCTTCCTAGTTCTAAATCTACCATATATAAATATGAACTGGATATAGTATTGTGAAATTTAGCTGCTTTCTTATTTTTATCATAATTAATTTGATATTTCTGACAAGATCAGTTAAATACTTAATTTATTATTCGTTAATAATGACATGTTTATAAGCTGAGAATAATAATTCAACTATAACTTACCGGTCACCATGACAAACCCCATGGAGTTCAATATAGTCTCCATCCATTAAACAATCCGGTATCTCATACATGAATTCTGTATCCTAAACAAATGCAAATATATTAGGGCATCTTTGATTAATGATTAACAATCATGGAAGATTGGTAAACAAACTTAAATATATTATTCTTGAAATTTATTGGATGATACACACTGAACTCACTTCAAATCCTTGTAGATGTTTTGACTTCTGCAATATTTTTGTATTCTACCAACCGAAAGCCTGATAGTGTTCGATCGAAAATTCGGAAGCTTTTACACAGGACATCTCATAGGTGGACTGAAATTATAGCTTATTATATCAAATATAACAATTTAGCCAGTTCTTTATTGTGTTTACTTAATTAATTAGAGGAGTACAAAAAAGAACATTGCTTAAAGCTTGGAACAGACAATCGAATAACTTATTACTCTACTAAATAAGTAATTTTCAAAAACTAAAAGTTTTTTAACCAATATAGTCGAATGAGATTCTAACTACAGTTTCATACACCAACGTATTTGTTAAACAAATTGACTAATTTCATGATAACGTTATAATTTACGAATAATACTGTTAACGTTTCCAAGTTATCTATTGTTTGAGATTTAGCAAACGAAAATTAATTGATGAATTGGTTTGGAACTGTGCTAAAAGTAACGACTCTGAGGAATTGCTACGATTCCTATATAAATTGTGATATTCGTATATGCATGTGTACTTGATATATAATTCACTTAAATTAGTTCGCTCGTTACCCTGATTTAGCTAGTTTTTCAAGGTATCTTCATATTTCACAAATCAAGCAAATTTCGTTTGATTTCTTTTTAATGTTTACAATTCGTTAATTACTAAGAAATTACTGAAATCAATAAAAAGTTCAATCTGATTGAGGCTTATGACTTATTATCAAATATTTTTAATTATTATTTGTCAATTTCCACTAGATTGTTTTTTGATAATCAATGAATGTATTCTCAACACATATACTGCATTCATTTGTTTCATATTCGTAATAAGATAGCTTGAATACGCCTGCTAAATAATACACTTAATAGTTCAACAATTTAATACTTGTAAAGATTCCCCTTTGGAAACTTTCTAATAGAACAACGATATTAGCCATGTTATGAATTAGAGTTTCCCTAAATACTAATAATCTGGTAAATTATCATTCACAAAAATGAGTTTCACAGCCTTGTTGGTAAGTCATAATGTTTTTCGAGTTTGTCCGTAGTAAAAAGATGAATTTCAACACAATTTGTTATTATCCGACAGAACATCATTAAAAACCAGGAAGCAATGGATAACTGGTTTATTCCAGTTTTGGCATACTCATTAGAATCGATATGTCGACAGCCTGGATTTATTGGTTTTGCAGTGAGCATGTTAATTATTTGGAGAATTCAATAACTTCTTAATATAGCTTGAAGTTCATTTGATCACAGTTCAATACACTTAATCCTAATTATGTCTATTTTGTTACAATCACTTAATGTGTTAACACCATTTAGTGTTCACGAGACCGAATTTCATTTCTAACGAAAGATTTATAAAATATTCCTTCTAATGATTGTTTTTATCACAATCTGATTTCATCAAGGAAACTATCTGGATTGAATAGCTCTTTCGTTCAAATTTACGACTCTGCGATAAGGAACACTCTTGATCCTACACGGCACATTATCTAAAACTTTCAGCTTTTGGGGTTATGATTTACAGACTTACATTTCCAACCCCTATCAGCTCGAAATCAGCGCAGACAGTAATAGTTATTATCTCAGCCCTAAGTTTTAAAAATGGATTTTCTGACAAAAGCGGATTCATATTAAAGGTATTTTCAATAAACCATTCAAAAACACTATATGGTTTCGATTTGTGACTACCATTGTTTCATTTATTTTGACGATAAAAGGATCGTATTAACTTAACTTTTTATCATTAGAATAGAAGTTTATAAGCTTATTTATTTATTTATTCATTTCTATCTATACAACCAGAATATCATTATAGATATAAATCAAACATATTAGAAAACCAGACCAACAATGTTGTGTTGATAACATATGAATGTGTCAGAATTGTAAAAATAGGTGCAATTTTTAATTAGCCCGAAATATCAATATAAAGTACAACTCTAATCTAATGAGTTGAATTACTTTGATTGATTGACTCTAGAAAGTATGAGTTAACATTTAAGAACAGTCATAACTATGAATTGAACAATGGATGATCAAACCTTGTTTTCAAAGGTTCCGTTACTGATTTAAACTGAGTTATGGAATAAAACTATTTTCGAAATAATCAATTACATAGAAAAACAATCTAATCAATAGACCTTTTATGTACATAGTAAAAAACAGTCTTTAGAAATGAAACTTACTTGATCATCGAAAGATTCATTCATGATGAGTTGATGGTTTTTAAAATTGAATTATTTCGTCGAATGTTGAATATTATAATGAATATTTTACAATATATTGAACAAATAATAGTCCAGTTTATCAATGTTCAAATGCTATTATATCTAGTATGTGTATATACGTTTATTATGTCGTAGATTGGGGTATAATGCACAAAATATGTATTCGTCTATTATTCTCTGTAATTCTAATAAATGTTCGTTCTTGTCAAAAATTTACCACTATACTTAACAATTTTCAATACTTCTGTAAAATGAGTCTTTTTTAAGAATTTTCAAGATATTTCACATTCACAGATAAGTGCTCACTGAACGTAAACACTAGTACACGTATACACATACGCACATACACTAATAATAAAACCAATATGAATAGTGACACAACAAATACAACTACATACTTTATAATAGAGTCAGATAAACACACATTGTGCTTTGTCAAGGTCGATGGTGTATCTGTTGCAAACTCATTGACTGTCGTGAGGACCACGTTTTATTTATTACGTCTTTTCTATTGTAAATAAAGCACGTGAGCACACGCAAATATGTTTAATTGTGTAGATATATATTGTATTTTTAAATGAGATTTTTACTCAGACATTTTAACAATGGTGTTTCAAGAAAATCACTATCATCACACTTTGAGAGTACAGTAATGTTACCTTAAAACAAAGTGTTTGTGTGTGCATCTAGAATGCGTACTCACAGATGATTGATTGACTGATTGTGTACTTATGAATTTGTGTGTTTATATGTGATTTGAAACAATTCTTTATACTGTATCACATCCGCAACCACACAATGACCCAGTCTATGAAATATCTGGTCTGAGCTTTACATCTTTCGATTACATTTATGTTCATCTTACAATGGTTATGCGAATAAGCAAACAATCCATACAGAAAAAAAAACTAATACACCAACTAGTGTGTATTACATGAAAATGACGCATTTAATTCAGTAGACGTCTGTACAATGTGTTCTTTTAGTAGTAACTAAACTAGATGTTCACTGAAGAAACTAGAATTTGCAAAAATACCTAATACATTATGATTCTTTTCTCATTAATAATAATTAGTAATGAGTAAGAATAGTAATACTACTTATTCAGCATTTATCAATTGTCTTCTTATCATTATCGATTCAAACTTCTAGTTTTTTTTTCTTAATTTTCTAATTTGACGCCAAATTTGTCAGTTTGAGAGATTTTTGTGTAAATTTATTTTAAATATTTTGATAGTATACAACGAAAATTTCTTATTTTAGTCATAAAAAACCGCAGCTCTGGGTAGATGTGTAAGGCAATTTAGTTGGAAATGATTATAAACTTTCTAAATTATCAATTAAATTGACACTGTTCGTTTAGTTAAATGTTTACTTTTCTTTCTTTTGAAAATAGTTCTGAGAAGAGCAAACTCAATGGGTAGTACTGCGAGTTTTCAACTTGGAAATTATCATTATTTTCAAAAAATTAACTTCTGTTTGATATTGATTGTGAACAACGAATTAGTTATCAATTGTTAGTCCATTTATAAACAATCACTCAATAGTACTAATCAGTAATTCTATAAAAAAATAACTGAAGTAATTAAAAAAACAAGGGGTGTGGTTATTATTTATAGGTGAAACATTTATATTTACAAACTGAGACCTGAATTTTGACACGAATATCTATATGCCTAAATCGCATTTCGGTATTATAGCTAATGTCATTTTGTAATGAAAACCTGAACTCCTGGCCATAATTCCTCACAGTAAGTGATATCAGTAAGCCAATGAAACTGCTTAATACCAACCACCCTAATATAGCTCAAGAGTTATCAATCGATCACAGTTTCACCTTGTACAATACACAAAATAAAATCTTTCTGTTTCATACTATAAATATACTTAATAGAAATGTGACTAAAATACCTTATACATTAAATTTGGTTAATGAAGTCGAAATCGATATACTAATCAGAACAAAAGGTCATAAGGGCAAGCAGAAGAACTAAAATGTTACACATAGTATTTGAAATCAATAGGTATTGATACATTGGAGATCAAGTCAATCAATACTTTGTTTGCTTTTGTATAACTTCACTATCTGTTAGAGAACGCTTGTTAGTTACATATTCACTTTATAAACAGAAGGGACTAACATAAACAAATCAATGAAATTCAGAGATTTCTAACTACAGAAATCAAAGTGTAATGTATTCTGTATGATTGCGTGTACGAAGAATTCGGTTATTTTATCTGTGACAAACAGTTCCAGCTAATTAACTGTTTTTTCTTCAACAGAAATAGAATTTAGCTTCTCGTTTATATTGCAACTACAGTTCTAGTGATAGAAGGTTCTCATCATGGACTGACATAAATAAAACACTGTGTAAAAGCCGAAAATCGTTCTATATTTGCTTTGTTATAGTTTCAAACTGTTCACTATTACAAATCAACAGATTAGAAAAGAGTCTTAAAAAATATAAACTCAATTCTGGAATGTATCACATATTTTCATAAACTACGGTGCCAAACATAAGTGTAACAACTGTCTGGTACTAACTGGCATTCTGTGATGAGAACGATTTTCACGATAAACTAATTCTCACACTTCATTAACTAAATATTGTTTCATCTAATAACCTGTTTCATTGTACATTTAGTTTATTCAATGAACCTAGAAGATAGTTTCAAGATAAATTTCTACCTGTCACACATCATTTTCGTTGGTTTGGCATTTTCGAAACTGAATTACTGACTGCTAATTCGAGCAATAAAAGCGACATAAATCATGATAAAGAACACTATATATTCATTCTCGTCTGAGTTTAAAACCCTCCCATCATCTAATTACGCTGTTTCTTTTTAAAAATCACACTATAAGTACATATATTGTTACGAATTAGTTAATTGGTATTTGATGAATGAATAAATATCATTTTTTTATCCGTATGTGTCTATTTCTGTTAATTAGAAGAATAAATTTTACAAAATAACTGCAATTGTTTGTACTTTGATATGCATCAATATTGGAATAAAAAACTAGTAGGAAAGTATATTTATGCTGAAAATTCACTTTTTCAATGAGTCATATGTCTCTCACTCTCTCTCTATATATATATATATATATATATATATATATATATATATATATATATATATATATATATAATTTATATATAGGTGTCGTCCCAACTGCCTCTCAAATATAAGTAGGCAAACTCTTTCGCCATTCTTATTATCATGATGATGACGAGACCATTGATTGTCTAGTTATTCCACTAGTAATAGACAAACAAACACTCTAGAAAGCTACACTTTAAGTCAGTTTATTAGGTTTCATGAAAAATGATCATAAATACCTGTTTGTAAACTATGTTCTCCTAAAGCCTATAATATAAATAAATGTAAAATATCTTGTAGGATTTCACGAAAGAACCATTCAAGTGAAATCAAAAGCAAAATTTCCTGAACACTATAGGCAATATTTCATTGCGATTGAGTCCCAATAGCTCCAAAGTCGACCAGACGCATGGCATGAGCATGGCATAAGTAAAACGATCTAGCTCTTGTTCGGCTTATTTTGATTGCTGCCTTCTTGTTCCTCCTTTCTTGAATCTTATCCGTTTATGAACAGTGATCCATTCCTTGTGATGTTGCTTCTTATGACCCACAAACTCATGACATGTTGAAGTATTTGACTATTTGATCTCTTTCCGGTTGGTCTCCATAGTAGTTTCATTTCCATTGAGCAGATTTTGAAAAGCCTTGAACCTATTGCTGAGGTTATCTTGAATTCTTTGAGTTTGTCAGTGACCCGAGGAAAGCCCGTATTAAACTCTCGTGATGATGTTCGACCAGTTGTCCAGTGTTTCTTGAGTTTCAGTTTAATGTTGACGACCAGCAAGTGATGATTTGAGGCTATTTCAGATCATCTCTTGGTTTTCACGTACTCCATCGTTGTATTGATGCAGATGTGATCGACTTGGTTTTCGGTAGCATGGTCAAATGAAACCCATGTAGCTTTGTAGATGATTTTGTCTGCGAATATGGTGTCGGTTATAACCATTCTGTTGAAGGCACATAGGTTTGCAAACCTCTCGCCATGTTCGTTGTTGGGGATGTTAGATCCCCAAAATTCGCTTGATAATGCCGTATTTCGGTTTTCACGTTCGCCAGCAGGGGCTGATCAAATGACCTTGAGATTTCAATTCCCACCAGGAAAATCAATGGCTGTGATTGGCTACAGTGTATTTTAGTATGCTATTTTCTTAACTGTCTCAAGGACGTTGTTATGTTGTATAAATAAACGAGAGTTGTATGCTTGATTGTACTGGGATTGCTGGGTGCTTGTAGAATATACTTCTACGCCTACAAAGTCTTCTATTTCGATTCTGGGATTCAGGGTAGCCTTTCTGGAAGCTGGTAAAAGTCTCGTTCGCGTTTATCGACTAAGGTAAACTCGTAATAGCCTCAAGCATCCTAAGTGCCGAACATATCAGTGGCGACGGGGCTCACAATTCGCAATGTCAATTAATCTTGAACAGTTAGAATCTTTACTGGAACGTCAAGGTAAACGATATGAACAGTTCCCGGAACGTATGTTGGAGCTGTTAATGAAACAAATGAATTTGAATCACAGAGGTTTGGCCGATGATTCATATAATCCGCATACAGACTCGATAGTTAATTCCATTCATGAATTTCATTTTGATGGCCTTGCTGGTGTGACTTTCGAGTCTTGGTTTAAGAAATATGAGGATTTGTTCAAGGTCGACCTCAACAATCTTGATGACGCCACCAAAGTCAGAAGCCTTTTGAGAAAGCTCGGCACAATCGAACACGAACGTTATAGTAATTTCATCCTCCCAAAGAACCCACGAGATTTCTCTTTTGATGCTACAATTGATACGCTGTCGCAAATCTTCTCTGAACAGTCATCTCTCTTTAATATTCGTTATCAATTCCTCAAAATAATCAAGTCAAATGAAGATGACTGG